GTGTACTCCCACACACACAACACACACAGGAGACAACATGTGTACTCCACACACACAGGAGACAATGAACATGTGTACCCCACATACATAGAACACATACAGGAGACAATGAACATGCATACCCCTGCACACACAGAACACATACAGGAGACAAGGAATCTAAGGCCCACAACTCATGAGCCAAAAGATGCAAGCCAACTATGAGGCAAACTAGCCAGTTTCATCGCTCCTGAAAAGGCAGACTGACAGTAAGTAAACCGAGTCCCATACCCAGGCAGCTTCCCTGCTGTGTCTCAGGTGACACTGAAGCCAAAGTGTCAGGCAGTCAGCTTCCGGAGGTGGCTCCGGTATAAGCCAGGTATAAGGTCCCCGGAGGGGAGGAAAATGCACACTTTCTCAGGCAGTCCTTTCCACGTGTTCCTATGGATAGTTTTCTTTGTTTGTTTGTTTGACTTTCTTCATGCAACATATTTTAACCATGATTTTGCCCCTTCCTCCAACTCCTACCAGATCCTCCCTGCTCCCTACCCACCCAACTTCACAGTCTTTCTCCCAAACCAGACACTAAGAGGGAGACAACGGAAACAAAAGATGGGCATTTTTAACGCTTCCAACATGTTAAGTAAGGGGCCAGTTTTTTCTCTTTTTCTACAGCCGCCCCCGCCCTGTACTGTCTGGTTTGTGGGACAGATGGGTCGCCCGCAGGTGGGCCAGTGATCCAGGCATCTGTGGGCTGACAATGAGAACACATGAAATTATTCCTTTGCCCAGAACTGAAACTCAAGCCCGAGAGGTGATTGCCGATGTATGCACCAAGCCATCGTGTTACCCTGGCAGCTCAGCCTTGCGTGGGCCTTTGCATAAACTATATTGTGCTCCATGGCTCTGAGTTACTTCCCCATCTCCCAGGTGTCCCCAGAGAAGCTCTCCAGGGAGGCTGCGGCTGGCTGTCTCACAGAGCACCCTAGACTTCCCACATAGCCTCTGAAATACATCTGCCACTGCTGTGGTTTCTGCTTGACCTCCCCAGGGTGAGAGGGCTGTCTGCTGGTCCACACACTTTGTGCACAGCTTCTGAGACAGCAGCCAGCCCAACTGTGGCCATTACGCCGAGGGTCCACATGCCAGGAGGTGAAGACTAAAAGACTCCACCCCTGGAGTTGGCTCAGGTACCCAGTGAGTCACTAGCCCTGACCTGTGACCATGATGTCCCAGGGGAGAGTGGGAGACCTCGAGAGGAAGTTCCATGCAGGGACACCAAGCACAGTGACTCACAGTTGGATCCCATAAGGAAGTTCCAGCTACAAATCCGTGGGATGACACTAGTCCCTGGCTGAGCTCACCCTGTATTAATGATACCTGCTCCAGCTCCCAGCTTCCCCCCTCTCAACTCCCTGCCTAGTGGAAGTTGTCATCTGAGCGGCAGCTTTCCCCCAGCCCCAAAGCACACATGATGGATGGAGCTGAGGAAAAGGCATGTCCTCCCAGGGTGTCAGATTTTTCATCAGTTATAAGTCCTTCCTCCCTCTGACACCACACGGGAGCCTTGGGGGCTAGAAGTGATGTCACAGCTCTTTAAAAGCAAGTGGGCAGAGCCAGCGCTCTAATCCTGTAAGATTATTGAGGTGCAGGGCAAGGCACCGGATGAAAAGCCGTCCTCAGGAGTTGCCCGGAAACACACCTGGCCTTGGCCTTGGCAGGAACACACAGGCCAAGATTCTTCTCTCCTTCTCCAGATGTTATCAACAGAGCACCCATTTCCAAGGCTTCACCAAGATATGCATCTAGTTCTCCCTAGATGGCTTATCAGTCTTCATTCTCTTACAGGTTCAACTTCCATCACACGGTTGCTAACAACCACCAAGGCCAGAGGCACAGGGACGCATTCTCAGAAAGACCCTCTGTATCCAATGTTAACTTGAGCACTGTGAGCCCGCCTCTCCTCGATGCCTGCTGTAGCATGATGCCTGACCCCGTAATCTCTACAGCTGTCAATCAGCGTGACTCGTTCTCAGAGGGAAAAGTCAGGTGAGAGGAAGACTTGGGGCTACAAAGACAAGGGCAGCCCTCAGAGATGGAGGAGCCCACAGGAGCACCCTCAGCCCTGTTAGCTGCTCCGAGGCCCGATAGTGTCACTGTCAGGTGTCCCTTGAATGCCCCTAGCACCTACCCATGCCCGAAGATATTCAGAACAAGAGGACACAGGCATTTGGCCCCTCTCCTCTTACCCATGTTCTCATTTCTTTTGCCAACAGGCCTGCAGGGGTGTGTGTGTTGGGGGGGGAGAGTGACATCAAGCCCAGACCCCAATGTCAGAGGTGACTCTAAATTTAGCAGTTATGGAAGCTCCTGGGATGTGACCAGGGCTTTTCAGATCACTGACATCATCACTATTATTCTGTATGTGACAGGGTAGGAGGGAGATGGACACATTCTCTCTCTCTCTCTCTCTCTCTCTCTCTCTCTCTCTCTCTCTCTCTCTCTCTCTCTCTGACACACACACACACACCACACAGTTTAGACCCTCTCCTCCCAGCCGCCTGCTCTCTTCTGCGCTTCTATAACAGCCCCGGCAGAAGGACCTTAGGAGGGAAAGTCAGCCCCCAGCACACCCGCACCAGCACTGACACACTCTCTCCACAGCAAGGTCTAGAGCCTCCAAGGCTCTTCCTGGTCTGGTTCTCTCGTGCATCAGCCCTCGCTGGTTCCCTCCCACACCCGCTCCGCTTCGCAAGTCCACCTTGTGCTGCCAGGCTCCTGCTTTGATCCGTTGATGTGACCGCTCCCTCTGTCCCAAAGACTCTTCCCAAAAGCATGCAGGGAGTCCTCCACGCCTCCCCCAAGTCTCCATCTCCCTCTGATGACAGCCGTAACCTGCCCCCCATTCCTCCCTCCAGCGGCATTGAGCCGTATGTTTGTGGCTCCTTATTAGTCTGCAATACCATGAGCTGCTTGTATACTATTTACTTGTTTGCCTTTCTGCTTTTTATTACACATCACCTACACCCACCCTATTAGTCTCAGCGATGGTAGACACTGGTGTATATCTGCAGAATGAATGAACCAAGAAAGGAACCACTGCCATCCAGGTCTGAGGAAACAGCTACATCCTATGGAATATTCTGGCCTTTGGATTGAGGAGGAAGCCTAAGGGCTGATAAAGGTTGAGACTGCTGTTTTCAGAAAGGCAGTACCCAGTTTGCCTGGAAATCCCCTCAAGACACTTATTAACTATCCCTGACCCCAATATGCACATAGCCCTCCAGTTCCCAAGCCCAGACAGCAGCTGACAAAAAAAATCTCTCACCAACAGTCATTCAGTATAAGGTCACCCTCCCATGAGGGAGCCCACTGTCGCCTTCTCTGCTCCTTGAATCCTCGGATGAAAAGTGAAGACAGGAAAAGTTGGAAAATGGAATGCATAGACCCAGGGACAAGATGCCCTTCCACACCTACTGCCTAGAGCCCTGAGGGGATTCAGAAGCAGCCTTGCAGGTGATATCCCCAAGGGCCAGGTGAAGGAGCAGCCAGCCAGGCTGGTGGGACATGTGTGCTTGGGGGCACACATGAATGTGATGGTCATTGATAGCAAGGGAGGGAAGGATGTGGAGAAGCAGAGAGCAGAAGCATCTTGTCTTGTGGGTAAGACGCAAAGCAGGGGACTAGGAACTGATGGGACACGAGATAACATGCCCAAGGAGACCCTGGGACAATGAACGGTGAGTTACAATGGGTTTCTTAAAGGCATCAAGTGACCCATGGAATATTAGGTCTAAGAAAGAGGCTTGGGGAAGATGCAAACAGAATTATTTTAGGAGAGACTGGAGCCCCTAGATTAGAGCATGTCATGGGTACCCCAGCTGGTTCCCCAAAAGCCAGTGCTAGAGGGGTGACTGGGCATAGGGAGGAAAGGCTGGGAGATGAACTCTGCCAGGACTGTCACCACTGGGACACTAGTAGACCTTGGCTCTGTTCCCATTCAATTCCTGGTCTCCCAAAGAGTAAGACTTAGCCTTACCATCTCACAGAGAACCCCATTTGCAATCAGATCCGTAACTGCCAATATTAAAACAAGAAAAAGCACTGCCACTTGTCAAGTGATGGATCAGGAAAAGTACCACGCTGTCCTCCTCTCACGACCTGTCTCCATTCCACCCTCAGCTCTGTAGGAGACACTGGATGATCTGGTGGCTCTAGGCAAACCTGCCCACATTCTGAGCTTCCCACTCAGGACCCACCACTGAGATTTGTGGACAGAACTGCTGTAACCACGCTGGATGGAGGAATCTAGACAGTTAAGGGCGGGCGCTTGGATAAAGGCGGAAGCATGTGTTCTACATCCAGCATTATTAGGACCAGACTTGGGTCGGCAGTTTTCCAGAAAGCTCTGAGATCCTGTTTAAGCCTGCGGGTAGTCTCGGCGCTCCTGAAGGGCAAGCAGGTGTGGTCCACCTGCTGCCTATCTCCTGTGTGTGCAGGCCAGGAGTCACCTGCCTGGTGATTCTCCCTGTGCATGGCAAGACTGCCCCTGTAGTGAATTCTGATAGGCAGCAAGAACTTGTTGGGGGAGGAGTCCCCCCATCATGCAAAAGGACAGTACAGAACAGCAACGATACGGACTTGGCTTTGAGTCTTGACTATCTCTCAAATGACCCATGCCATCTTAGGCATGTGACTATACCTCAATTTCCTTGTCTTACCTTTGGGCATACCGTAATGTATCTGCTAGAACTACGGGAGGTGTGCACAATTATATTGACCTGACAATCAGGGGAGCACAGAGCACAGCCTTGCCCGGATTAACTGCTTGCTATATTTCTACTCCCCCAGCAAACAGCAAGGCACCTGCCTGTGCTCTGGATAGGCACACAGAGTGTTAGGGATGTGTCTATACCAAGGGGCATACAAAGAGACATGAGTCCACCTCTGAAAACAACAACAACAAGGAAAAAACAAACAGAAGAAACACAGGTACACTGAGACATCTACTCACAACTCACCTTTCTCTTGTCCTTGTTCCAGGTCCGCAGAAACCACTGGTTTTACCTAGAACAGTAAGGGGAGGGTTAAATCTGGAAGTACAGCAACGTTGAACACACCATCATCAGACTCACCATTGGTGAGGGTAAACACTGAATGCCAGGCCTTTTAGGGACACAGAGGCTTAAGGTCACAGTTTCTATTCATTCATGAAACAGGCTTTCACTATGTAGCCCAGACTGGCCTTGAACTCACGCACCTCTTGCCTGAGCTTCCAAAGCGCTGATGTATGAGCATGAGCCACCTCGTCTGACTGACAGCTACCAGTCATTATTTAATATGCAATGAAACTACGTTGCAGAAGAAACCCACTCAATTGGGGTCATGATAAACACAAAGCTTCTTTCAAAGAAATATGGCTTTTAAAAGATAATAAACTAAACCCAGAATTACCTAAATACAAACAGTATCACCATGGATGCTGATCTTCTTTTCAAGTTATTAACAACAGATATTGATAGCGAAATAATGGACAGTTGTATACTGAGCTGTTCTATTTTGAGTGGGACCTTTCATGTGTGTGCTTATGTGTGTATTTACATGTGCCCATTCACATGTGTGCACACTTATGCTATGTGCATGTGCACACTTATGTGTTTGTATGTGTGTGCATGCTGTATACTGTGACCCCCTCCACTGCTCACAACTCTCAACTTTTTTTTTTCTTTACACAGATTCGGGGGAATTGAATTCAGGTTCCCATGCTTTCAAGACAAGCATTTTATCAAAGGAGTCAGCTTCCTAGTCCTCCATTGGTCCTTTTACCCAGACTCCTACTCCGTTATTTCTGTACATTGAACTTAACTGTCTGAACTCATTCAACAGGGCAGTGCATGTGTATCATCAGGCTCCACACCTGGCCTCCGCCACGTTCCAATAACCACCAGTTACATACCTCTAACTGCTATGCATTGTGCATTCCCTTGTGGGTTTCTGGGGTGTGAGTTAGTGCAGGTAATTCCTGAACAAATGTGCAGGTATCAGTGGGAGTTGCTGTTACTGTTGCTGCTAAAACAGATATTTAATCTTTAAATCCGGCCTCTGTTCAATCTAATTCAGACGCCAGGAAGAGTAGTATTTCAAACGGTGTTTAAAGATAATAGCCCCAGTCTAAGCCTCCCCATCATTAGGCTCAAAGAAATCACTCTAGACCCTTAGGTTGGCAAATTAAAACAGACAGAAGACAGACAAGAGGGGAAGAAGAATACAATCAGACTTGAAACGGGATACTGGTAGCCTTCACACACAAGGGAAAGGATTGTTTGGGTGGCTGAGCGCACATTCACACCTCACCACTCTGGGGTCCCTGAGTTCCTAACGTCAGGGTGGGGCTGGTCCTCTGCGGCCAACCCCACCAGCCATTAGGTCAGATGGGGGAAGGGGCCTCTTGCACCACAGTGCCTCTCCAGTGACATGTTTACAGGGCCTGCACCCCACCATCAAGTCCATGAATTCACCCAAGGATGGGCCTCAGGCCTCCAATGCAATATAGTCTCTGCATATTTAAGTTCCTGGGGATGCACATGTGTATGCATGTGTGAACATGTGTGTGGAGGTCAGAGATCAAACTCGGGTGTCATTCATCGGGTGACAGGGGCTCTCACTGGGATTTGGGACTTCAGTAACTGGCGCTGTTGAACAGTGAGCCTTAGGGAGTCTCCTGTCTCTACCTTCCCAGCACGGGGTTTACAAATGCTTTGTACATGGGTGGTAGTGCCAGGGACTGCACTCAGATCCCCAGGCTTACACCTGAGCTACCGTCCCAGCCTCCTGCAGTAGGTTCCTGACTAGGGCAAACAAATTGTCCACTGGCGCCCAGAAGAACTGTGTTATACCTGTGACCTCACCGGCCAACTGATGGGTAGAAAGCTCATTCCCAGACAGCAAGCAGCACGGCAGGCTGTCTTCCACCTCCAACCCTGCATCTAGAAGACATCCCCACCCCTGCGTTCTACATAGTGGCCCCACACCCACCTATTCTCGGTGTATTACTGGGTGGAACACACCCCACAAACTCATTCAAGCCAGACCCCAGATGGATGGAGACAGTTTTAGCTTTGCTCCTCCTTCCGGTAGGGGCAAATTTTAACATGAGGCAACAATTAGTCCTCACATTGCCCCATGAAGTCTCACTTCAGCCAATTTAATGGGGGGGGGGAGAATAGAGAGAGAGAGTTGGGGTCATCTTGAAGTGACAGAGTTGGGGAGTGTCATGAAGAGGGGAGTGAAGGATTCTGGAACCATCCCCTTCCCCTAGGTTTCTGCATCTAATCCCATGCCAGTGGTCCTAACTGGTCTCCAGTGGGGCCTGGGCACCAGGAGGAAGCCTCCTAAGATGCCCTTAGTTTCTGAGGGTCTGCTCGAGATGTAGCTAAAAGTGAATTCCTGTTGTGTAGGTGGCAACTTGAGAAATCTACATTTAAAATTCTCTCTCTCTCTCTCTCTCTCTCTCTCTCTCTCTCTCTCTCTCTCTCTCTCTGTGTGTGTGTGTGTGTGTGTGTGTGTGTGTGTGTCTGCCTATCTGTCTGTCTGTCTGTGAGTGCCGGTGCACATGATGTACCAGCCAAGGGATGCTTACAGAGGCTGAAGTACAACTTCAAGCATGAGTGCTCACCTTCCATCTTGTCTGAAACACTCACTGCTCACCTGCTAGCACACCAGGCTAGCTGACCCACGAGCTCTCAAGAATTCTCCACTCACTAGATGCTGGGATTTCAGGGGCTTGCACCTGGCTTCTATATAAGTTCTGGGAATTTAAATTCAAGTCCTCATGTTTGTGTGACAAGTACTTTACCCACTGGACAATATCCATAGCCTATAATCTGCATGTTTAATGTGTTCCCAGGGAAACCCAAGACTGGAAGTCCTCTATACATAATGAGTAAGTGGCTTGAGCTCGGCGACACCCCTCTTGCATTCTCCCACACCCCCATGAACTCAGGCGAGCCACCTACAGTCTCTCTCCAGCCACAGATCCCCTTCTGGCTACCGTGGAGTACTAGGTATGCAGGAAGTTTAGGCTTACAGCCTGAGAGACCCGTTTCTAGGCAGTTGTGTATCTCAAGAGGTCTCTGCATTCCACCAGACATTTGTTTCACTCTGTTCTCTGAAGTGGCATGGCCACCTGAACCTCCCAGAAAGAGCTTGACTCCCCAGGGATACTAAGTCTGTCCCTGGCACACTAGCTGGAATGTGTCCTGGAGCTCTGTTGGGCTTTAATAGATCTCCTGCCATCTCAGCATGGCCCTTTTTACCCTTTGCTGGGGAGGACAGTAGACAGGCTGAGGGGAGCACCTTCAGAAGCAGGTCACCTGGCAGCACACACCTCACCAGATCTGCCCTTGCATTTGACCCCAAATCAGTTCCTTCATGATCCCTTCACGTGCCTGAACCATGTGTCACACGAATGTGATTTTCCTTATTACAATAAATAAGAAATAACCCATTGGAGTGACTTCTACAAAACAAGCCAAGAAGCTCTCTGGAGGCCACAGCACTGGGTCCCATTTCCTAAACCTCCCCCTAGGCCAACACATCCACCATGCTACAATTACTTTTACGGGCCCACAGAGATGTTCTCATGTCTTTCAAAAGCAGAGCAAGTGATGGTCATAGTAATGACAGTCACGGTAATGTTGAGGTAACGGATCCGGCCTGGGCACTAATCATCCTTTTACCACTGCAGCCATAAAAGTTTCATTTTAATGTTTTTATGGTGGAAGCGAACCATGAAATCATAGGCGCATAACAACCACAATTTGATACTGAAATGATCCGCTTCATGGCAGTCTCTAAACTTGGTGGGCTTTGCTGAGAACCCAACTGTTGGATGTCCCATTGTTGCTTTACAGAGGGACCTTTCTAGAAGATACCTACTCCAGCCAGGCACCTAGCCCCTACCTTGCATGGGGTTCACCTTTCCCCCTATAGTTCCACTTAAAACCCCCCTGTTTTATCATGGGAAAGTGTCCCACCCCAGGAGGTGGGCTTTGAACACTGCTGGGTCTGTCTGACCACATGACAGAGACCGCGGTAGCTCATACCCCCACCTGTACGTGGGATGCTCAACCCTGGCAGGAGGGACTTCCGAAGTCCAAACACAGGCAGACACTCAGCCCCTGGAGCACAGACACCTAGCATACATCACACGCAGGCCTATAAAAGATAATTATACAATCTGATGTGGCAAATTAGTGTTCAGAACTCTCTAATTCTCACAATGAATTCAAGGGTTGGATCGGCAGGAAGAATTAACCTGGATCTTTATTGGGATTTGCCCCTGGGTCAGGATTAGGGTTCATTTATCTCTTTTATTTTCCTACTGAGGGAGGGTAGAAAGGCCTTCTCTCTCATCTCTCTCTCTCTTTCCCTCTCTCTCTCCCTCTCGCCCGCCCTCCCTCCCTATACTGGCCAGGCCTGGCTTTCAGACAAGCCAGCTGCCTGGAGATCTTTCCCACGACCTACCCAGTCCGGCACACTCAATAGAGCAGCAATCAGGAGGGAAGCAGAGATGGATAGAAAGATGCAGGCTTTTTCACAGGGGAGAAAAGTTGGGGCATCCCAAATAAAGGGTCAGTATACACTAACACAGCCCAAGGTCAGCTAACGAACTGACCTTCCCGGGCGGCCGTCTACCTCCTATTTATTCCAACCGACTCTGGAAAGTCTACTTGGAGAACACATATACACACTTCTCTAGACATTACCACTGCTGCCACCACAGGATAGGGCATTAATAGGAGCTGGTACCCAAGTCCTCATCTTATCAGATAGCTAGATCACCAAGGAACTGGTACCCAGATGCCCAGGCATGTTGAGCCCAAGGGATGATTATCCTTCGCGTTGCAAAAGCAAGCATTATTGTGCTGTGTGTGCATTTCTGGGGGTCTGTCTTAGGGAAGATAATTTCCTAGTCAAACTCTTCAGTCAACCCAGATATGACAACGACGTTGAGAGCTTCAAAGACAAGGCCCTGGTCAATGAGAAAGAATTCACACCCACACTCT